TGCAACAGTGGTCACTCCCCACTCGGAGGAAACCTCCGACGAGGTGCGGACTCCAGCTTCCCGGGAGCCCCAGGCCAGGGACAGGCTCAGAGGACGCAGGGAAGTCCCCTCTGGGCGTCGAGATCCTGTGGGGACTCTAGGCCGTGCGCCGCCGGCTGTGGAGCTGCGGGTTGTGGGGTTCCTGACCTGGAAGTCTACACCGAGAGGGAGGACACCGAGGCTGCGGGGCCGTGAGCGCGATTTTCGTTCTCCGTGCCACCGCTGTCTGCCCCGGCCCAAGACGGCGAGCCTGCTGCTCGAGGAACTCACTGTCCGACCACGACCGAGGAATCGCTTCCCTTCCCGGTGCCAGTCAGGCGAGTTTTCGACCACCGTGCCTGCAGCAGGCGCTCCTGACCTTTTCCCGGGACCCCTTCGGAGGCCAAAAGTTCGACGGCGTTCGAAGCGAGGCAGACTCCCTCCACGCGATCGGCAGTGCGCGCAAACCCCGGCGCGGCCCCCGCCTGGCCCTTGCTCCGGGCTGAACCCACACAGTGGCCAGGACTTTCAGGGCGGGTGCTCCGAAGCCGCAAAGCCGCGCGAGCCGGGAGTGCAGAGGAACCGCACTTTCCGTCGGGTTTCCAGATCCATCCGCGATTTCCTGTTCCCAGCAGCGAGCGCAGAGGTCCGGGTGTGCGGCGCCCACGCCCGGCGCGCCAGGCCCACTTCCGCACCCAGAATCCCGCGCCGGGCTGCGCTGACAGTTGCCGTCTCGGGGTGTCTAGGAGAAGGGGCTCCCAGAGGGCAGAGGCTGCGGCTCAGGCCCCGCCGCGGCTTCCGCGGGCGGCCCCCCAAGCGTGTCCTGGCACCTCCCTGGCTTCGGCAGGATTTAACGCTTCTTTCACCCCTACGATTTCCAACCCTCAATTATAGACCCCGGAGAATTCCTCCCGGTCTTGAAAGGGATTATCCAGATCGTGGAAACATGGCTAAGTGGAAGTGGGAGAAACCCGACAAGTAACAAGAACGGAAACTTTCTCAAGTTAAATTTCCCGGATTTTACGCGAAAGCGCACTTGTCTTCAGAGTGGCAGCCACTGTTCACTTATCAGCAAGACAGGTTCGAATGGCGCCTCGAGTGTTTGAAGATATGTAGGTGCGAGGTATTTCCCGGCCCAAAGCCTGTCCCGAACAGGCATCGGATACCCCCTTCCCTCAAGCACATTCTTTCAACACACACAGGGCTATGGGCCCGGGTCCTGGACATCACCACCAAAGTACTTAAGTACTTAGGCGTGGTCTCCAGGTAGGAACAACAGTGATGTCTGTGTGGAATGGTAAGGAACTCCTATCCCAGGTGGGGCCTTCGGAAAAGGACACTGAGGGCAGATAGCCTCAGACTCTATGTGGGACAGTTATCACCAAGTTAGAAGCTTGTTTGAACTGGAAAAGTTCCCAACGTTCCTGATCACTCCAATTAACACGTGTGCAAGTACTTTTCCAGTTCAAACAGAGCTTCTGACTTCCCAGTAACTGTCCCACATATGGCCTGTGGGGATTCGTCCCAAGTGTCCTTTTCTGCGGGCCCCACCTGGGAAGGGAGTTCTGGCACCGGGAGAAATTCCACACCCTGGGCTTGAGGCCAAGTGCCCAGCTCAGGGTCCGGGGACCAGCCTCCCGGCCCCCAGGGGAGAGGCACAGAGGCAGCCGACGACCCCAGATGGGGCATCGCCTAGAAATGCGGTTCACCTAGAAGGAACCTGCAGAATCGGGAATTCAGGAAGATTGGCGCGGAAGGGGGGCGGGGGAAATGTTGCACGTTGGGGTCGGGAGCTTTGGGGACGCGGCCTGCTTGCGGGGCGTCCCTATCCACAGTCTGTCCTGCCCTGAGCCAGCACGCCTCGGCGTACCCCACCTCGTAGAAATTTTCCACTAGGAAACTTATCTGGAAGAAATGCAGGCCCCAAGAGGAAAGGGGCGGGCGGGGCCGGGCCGCCTCACATCTGCTTGGATTTTCCGCTTCAGATGCTCCGCAACTGTTTTTCCCCGGGCCGCGCGCCCGGCGCCTACCTGAGATCCATCCTCAGCGGAAACCGACCTTCGCTTGAGATCAAGGGAGAACGCGCAGATGTTCCACCCGGGATGGGCTCCCTCCCTCGCGGAGAGCCGCGCGGCGGTGGCAGCCGGAGATCAGAGACCTTGTCACTGAGGAGGTGGGGGAGGCGGAGGGATTTCGAACCTCTGAAGTGGAGATTAAGGAGAATTTCAGCGTCTCTAGCCAGCAGAGGCAGCAGAAAATCCAAGACCACAGAGATTCAAACCGATTTGGTTTATAAGCCCTGTCTACACAAGCAGTACGATATGGCCACTCCAGAAAATCCAGTTCGCCTCCAACATCACGTAGATGTCCATTTCGTCGCTGAGAGGACTTTTGCTTTGAAAGCTATCCCAGAGAGTACCTTGATTTTTCGCTCTTCCTGTATCCCTCCTGTAGAGACAGTAGGAACTTTTCCTGCTGTCATTGTTACTAGCAGAAAGGACGGGATAATCACGATGTTACTACTTATTGTTTACAAGTGATTGCAAGGTATCCAGAGCAATTTTGTAACGATTTATTACAGCAAGAGGTGAAGGCAGTAATTTGCTCTGTTCCCTCATACCCAAGTAGTAGGAAGAAGTTTCTCTTTTTTGTTTTTAGTAAGTTCTTTCACTGGAAGTGATTTCTTTGGAAAAAGTGTTTGCTTTGAGGCTGGTCAGCATATCTGATTATGTGATTACATCACAGTAAACCGGGGCAGCTCTGCCTTCCTGTCCTGGGTCCAGGGACCTCATTGCTTCCGTGCCTTTGCCTCTGGCCCTGCAAAGCTCTGTCTTCCCCAAGAAAGGAGTGAAAGGAAGGAGAAATCCCAGAAGCTGGGTGTTGTACCCACCTCCTGGGGTGCCTGTGGAAAGCACTCAGTGCTGATCCTCCTTGGACTTGGTTGTCTGGGAGGACTTTGGGTTCTGGGATTGAAAGCTCAAAGGATAACCGGCGTGGTAGCGCACGCCTGTAGTTCCAGCTACTTCGAAGACTGAGGCGGAAGGATCGCCGGAGCCCGGCAGGTCGAGGCTGCGCTGGCCGGGAGCGGCTGCTGCACTCCAGTCTGGGCGACGGAGTGAGACTCCAACTCAAAAAAAGAAAGAAAGAAAGAAAGAAAGCTCAAAGGAGCCAGCCGGCAGTGCCTCCCATCCAAGGATCTGAGTAGCTGCTGCCTACTTTCTAGAGGAGATGATTTTAGGGAACCAAAAAACAGCTACTGTCACTGGTAATTAATAATAGTGATTAACAAAGTCCTTGAATAAGGGCCTCGGGTGCTACGTCAGGGGTGCCTGGTTTGGCTAATCAAGGCCACAAGTTCCTTCTCATTTTCCCTGGGGGTGGGGGCTGTGGGGACCCTTTCCTCTGCCTTTTCTTTCCCTGCCTTCCAAGCCTGGCCCCTCTTTCTCACGGTCCCTGAGAAGGCACCAGGGACTTTGGTGCACCCCTCGGGATGCACAGAGACATCGTGTGATCCTCGGTGATAGGGAGGACACCTCTGGAGCCTAGGCCATCACCCGTGCCCAGGAGCCGCTCTCTGGCAGACCAGGGTTTCTGGAGGAAGAAGAGGTGGGCCCGTGTCTCTTGCCACCTCTTCCCACCCCCCCAGACCCATCGCCCTCTCACGGAGGCCTCTTGGCCCAGGTGAATGGAAACGTGGCTCAAAGTCTCAGTCTGGGGAGAGGCAGCCCATCTGCTCCCCAACAAAACCCCACTTTCATCTAGAAACGTCCCCTGGCTCCCAGGGAGCCTGGGATCGCGTCTGGAAACCCCTGAGCTGTAGGAGTCTTAGTCTGGTGTACGCTGAAATTCCTCAGTGGTTACATCAATTACACACCGCCCTGAAAATCTGAAAACTGATTAGTTAATTAAGGACGTCGGTGAATCAGTCCGTCAAAAACATCAACCCCCAAATTCCCTTTTAAGGAACAAAACTTATCTACCTGAGATAAATACTTCTACACATCCAAGAAAGCAGGACGTGATGGGTTTACACTTTTTCCCCCTAGCACGTACTCACTATAATAGCCACCCCTTAATATAGAATTGACCATAAAATAGGACTGTTGTAGTATTTTAAAGACACAAACTCGTTTTGTTTAAATAATATAGGAGACCTATTTGTAAAGCAAAGCTATCAGTGGGTCGTTTCCTTTCTAATCCAAACAAATCTGTAGGAAGAGGCACGATAATTCATTCGAGGTCGACAGAGGGAAAGCTACAAGGCCGGCGGGCGGGCGGGCTGGGCCGGGCCCCTCCAGCCTGGTCTGGGCGCGCGCATCTGCCCCAAACCCGCTTAGCGCGGAACTGTAATTCTTTTTTCTTTTTTCGTTCTTAAGGACTGCACG